GCTCTCAAGATGGAAAGCCTCCCTTCTCAAGCTCTCCCTCAGTGGGCCACCTCATTCTGTTGCCCTCCTCACTCTGATGGCAGGACAGGATTTTGGGCTCCTGAGCCTCCATGTTTCACAGAGCTCCAGCCTCCCTGTCTCAGGAAGCATCCCCAGCTCCAGCCGCTGCTTCCTCTCTCACCCTCACGTGCAACATCAGACCTATCAGCAAGTCTCACAGGGATTCTTCTGAAGGATCTCTCAAATCAGACCTCTGTAGGTGACATGCCCCTTCCTTGTGCAGGTCCCAGAATGTCCCACAGGCCATCATGAGTACAGCACCACTGCCCTGACACTCTTCCAATCCCAATCCCTTCTCTGTACAGCAGGCAGAGCCTCTCAGGGCACAAACCAGAACCCCTGCTTAACACCCTGCAGTGCATGTTAGTAGCTTTGTAGAAAGAGTCTGCAGCCCTCAGGCTCTGCAAGATCTGTTCCCCTGTTTGTCTTTCTGAGTCCCCTTCTGCATCCCCACTCTTGTCCCCTATGCCCCTAGGCTACGGTCACATGGACCTTCTCCTTCCTTTTCCAGAAGAAGCTGAGCAGAAGTCAGCTTCTGTCTTGGCTATTCCCTTTTCCACCCAGATGTTTGTGTGACTTCCTCTTCCTGATCATTCGGTCTCAGCATGAATGTCATTTCCTCAGAGGGTCTCTCCCGATGACCCTACTTGTTACTCTCTATCCCTCCCTTTGTGGTGCTGATTATTTGAAAACATATTACTTGCTTGTTTAAGGGTCTATGGTCTCTGGGTTCCTTCTTATCCCCACCACTCTATTTTTCAGGTGCATAGGGGCTTGCTCATGTGCATGTGCTGTATCTAGAATGCTTGGCACTAGAAAATGGTGGTGTGGGATAGTGTAACTCCTCAACACTTACCAGCTCAACTTGCTTCTCTTTCAGATTTTCTCTATTTTCTGTCATCCCTGAGATACAGACTCTCCAATCTCTAGTTTTCAGCCCTCATGATGGTTTCCTCATGGATCTGTGGATTTTGCCTGTGAACTCATATTTCATGAGAACTTTCTTCCATGTGAGTCTTGACTGCCTCCACGAGAGGCTGTACTTTTGACTCTGAGGGGTCCAGTGAGCTTTGCTGGTTCTTACACTGATATCTCAGCCTCAGGAGAGGTTGGAATCTGGAACATATAGCCCTGCCTGGTGCAGACTCCAAGGCTTGATTTCTTCAGGCAACACTTTTTCTGCCCACAGTCCAAGGTCGCCAGTTAGCTTTGGGCTGAGTCCCTATGGTGGGGAGAGGTTTTTTAGTCTCGTTGTTACGGACACGTCTGACTCCTGGCTTAAACCAAGGAGCTCGATTCTAATTGCCTAAGACGCCTGAGAGCTCAGCTCCAGACACCCGGCAGGTATGCAAACCCAGTTCCTCAGGCTCCTTTTTGATTCAGACACCTTGTGAGCTGCCTCAGTGGCTGCTCCTGCTACAACTCCCTCCTTGGTCTGGTCTCTGGGAACTTCCCTTTCTTGCACTGGAGCTCAGCATTACATTTTAAAAAAGATGTAATATTTTGCCCTGCATCTGTGTGTGTTGGAAGGATCTCTGTCTGTTAAGTCCACCATCCTGACCAGAAGATCCCTCTGGCCAATCCCCATGCATTCGTCTTTACTTCCCTTAATCTGCCCTTGCTTTGTACCACTTGGGTTCTAGTCCATGTTTGTGCATGTGCTCCCATGACTGTTCTTTCGAGATACAATGCTCTTAGTACAAAGTGCGCTGCTGGGTACCTGGTGCATGCTGTAAATACATGTTCCTTAAAGGAAAGCGAGCAACTTTCAATCTCCTGCTACTGACAGCTGGTCGTGCTGGCGGGTGCGGCAGCTCACCCTGTCCCCATCAGGCCACTGCATCCTGTCAAACAACAGGGCCCACTGCAGAGATGGGAGGAAGGGAAGTGATTAGGGAGTCGATGAAAAAGGATAGGCAACTATCAGCTCTGAAAGCCAATAATTCTAGTGGAGCCTTCCCAGGGTAGTAGGCAAAGGTGGAGTACATTTCTCACCACCAATATTTTTAACCTGTCCCCTTAGACTCAGATTCCTAGGCATATTAAGAGGTGATGTAATAATAATAGTAGTAGCTAATATTTGATATTTTCTTACTATAGATGAGACATGTGCAAGTGCCTTAAATAATAATAATATAAATACACAAACAATGCATATGATCATCATAGCATTTAACATACACATGGCACAGTGACAGGCACCATGCTGAGTGCTCCTCATATATTAATTGACTCCTCCTCACCCCATTATTGACCATTATGACTGGAAGCTGTGAAACAAGAGGCACAGAGAGACCAAACAAGCTGCCCAAGGCCACCCAGCTATTCAGTGGCAGAGCTCCAGGCTCTGTGCCCAAGCCTCCCTTCCAGACTGCCCCTCTGTGCATGTCCTTTGTGTGCATTACTCAGTCTTTGAAACAATCCCATGGGATAGGAACTATGATGACCCTCTTTTCAGAGATGAGAAAACAGGATCAGAGAGGTGTGAAGCAAGTTGCTGAAGGCAGCATAGCTGGTGGCTGGGCCAGTGCTACCACAGCAGGCCAGAGCCCTGAGCACGGTGGAGTGCCTCAAGTCTATTGCCTTTGCATGCACACACACATTAACTTCTTCTAATCTGGATGCCTTTTTAAAAGCTATTTGATTTTATTTTTAATTTTTTTTGGAAACAAGGTCTCACTATGTTGCCCAGGATGGTCTCTAATTCCTGGGCTCAAGTGATCCTCCTGCCTCCCAAAGTGCTGGGATTACAGGCGTGAGCTACCGTGTCTGGCCAAAAGTTAAATAATTTTATTTTTAAATGTGTTTATTTCAAAGACTTTAAAAAAGATTTTATAATGTATTTAAATCAACAAGCATCTTACCTTCCCTATTGCTAATCCTCAATGTGTTTCAAAAATTTAAATTAAAAAAAAGATGAACAAAAAGCCCCAGACCTTCCCACACGGGCCAGCCCTGTAGACTCAGAACTGCTCTGAGAAGCCCTGCTCTGCCTCTTCTCCCCTAGCAGGTATGCGCCTACTTGGCACAGGTGGGAGCAGAGTATGAGGTGAGGGGAACAACCCTGTTGACCCTTCCAGGAGTATGAGGCTGCAGTCCCCTGCCTCTGGCCTGGGAGGGCTGCAAAGATCCATTAGGGCAGGGATGCAGGAGGGAAGCTGAGGAAGGTGGCTGCCAGCATGGGTGTGTGGCTTCAGGTCTGAGCTCTGACACAAGCCAGCAAGGGGGCAGGGGGTGGAGTGGCGGGTGGGAGGGGGTGGGAGCAGGGTGGGGGGGCATAGTTTTGTCCTCTGTTCAGTGGGCTGATGAGACATGAGGGCTGAACCATTTACTATTTGTAAAGTGCTTGCCATCTGTGCTGGGCACAGAAGAATGCACAGAGCAGGCATTTGTTAGATAAGTCAGGGCCCTTGAATTCTGGAACAGGCAGAGACTCGTGCAGGATGCTGCAAGGGAGGGGGCTTCCTTAGAAGATAAAAGGAAGAGAGCTGACGACTTCATCTTGCTTTGAGGAAACCGTCTCTCATTCTTAGTCTCCCAAGACGCTGCTGGGGGAGGGGCACCCTGGAACACGCCTGGCTCCTGCACCGGGGGCGGGTACATATGCAAAGCCCACTTTGGGCTCCAGGGTTGGAGGCCCCAGCAGAGGAGCTCGGTTTTGACAGCTGTGGTTGGTAAGTGGCCTCCCAGCAGGTGGCCTTTCCCAGCTGCTATTGCTGGCTCCCTGCTGCTGCCACAGTTCTCATGACACAGCGAGAGCCGGGCTCTTGAGGAAACTGCACCTGCACTCTGGCTCACCAGGACTCCTCTAGGGGTGCATCTACTACCAGGTGGGGGTATGGGGACAGTACTATTAAGCTAAAAGGCAGGTGCTTTCTTCCCGCCCAGGACCTTAGAAAATGAAGTTCAGCTCCAGTGAACCCTGAGCACAAGGACATAACTGATGTGTGGCTAGAAACTTGGTTTTCATTATAGACTAAACAACAGCAAGACAGTGTTGCATGTATGGTCTACACTACAGTAGATCATGCTATTAGGCGAGGAGAGAGTGTCAGCCTGGGGCGTGGAAAGGAAAAGAGAGAAAGAAAAGAAGTATTTAGAAAAACGGTAACACAATCTTTTTTGTTTTTAAACATCTCTCTATGCATAGATCAATGGTTTCCAGCCTTGGTTCAACATGAATCTGCTGGGGATTTTTAAACAACCCAGTTGCCCAGGTCAAACCCCCCATACCAGTATGCCTAGTTTGTTTTTTTTCTAAAGTTAGTCAGTCAAAAACTTAAAGTTACACATGATTCTAAAAGTCATATTTAACCCATCTTGCACAGGGACTGGCAAACTATTTCCTGTGAAGGACCAGAGAGTAGATATTTTCAGCTTTGTGGGCCATATAATTTCTGTTGTGTCTGCTCAGTTCTGCTGTTATAGCATGAGAGCAGTCATAGACAACACATATGTAAACACATGAATATGGCTGTGTTCCAGTACAGTTTTATTTACAAAAAGAGACAGTGAGCTGAATTTAGCCCTCAGGCATAAGTGTGCCCACCCTTCACCTAGAGGAAATAGGGAAGCTTTTCTAAATCACTTCTTTGACATCTCCAAATTTCCAGATACAGAAACTCTCCCTCTGCAAATCCATTCACAAAAATTCATGTCAAAATAACCCCATGGGGTGGGCAGTGAGCAGGTGTGAAGCTAGACTGACTGGAGGCAGATTACTGGAGGTAGGCGAGGGGCACATGGAGGCTCATCCCACTTTTCTGGCTACTTTTGTGCATATTTGAATATTTTTCCAAGATAAAAAGTTAATAAATGAATTTTTTTTTAAAAGAGGAAAATCTCTCCAGAAAAGACCACAAGCTGAAATTAGTGGGAAGTCTGGGGACTGTCGGGCCTATGTCCCACTGGGGTTGGGACACCGCGTGGAGGATACTCACGACCAGTAGAGCAGCATGAGCAGAAAGGGGCAGATGATGAGGGCCTGCAGAACCTGCCAGTCCCGGCACAGGGCGGCCAGCCCGGGCATGAGGAACTGCCCTGCCATGGCCACAAAGCTAGCCACCATCGTGATCATGAACCGTTTTCCAGGCGGGCACAGCTCTATTCCTAGAACACAGAACCAAAAAAAGAGAGATAAGTGCTCTGCCTGACCCCAGGGGGTCCGAGTTGAATGGACATAGATGAAGTTAATATACCCAATGAGCAGTCATTTTAACGTTGCCTAGATCTCTCATGTTTTTCTAGCAGTTCACTTTAATTTATCCTCTAACCACAAGCCAAGGACAGAACTGGTTTCTCAGCTATTGATAATTGTTTTATAACCCTCTCGGCTTGTTTCATAAACAAGTTAACCTAATCAATTCCTCATGACCTTCATGACTAACCCACCCATCTGCCTCTTGTCCATCACCTGATGTCAATACCTGTGCTCACCTGCCCTCCATGATGACATGCAGGAGACCACCGCCCAATACCTTAATGACCTGCCCTCATCAAAGGGAAAGTTTAAAAGGTTTCAACCTGAAGCAGCCATGTGCCATTGCTTTATTAAACTCTGGGGAGGCCATATGCTTTTTGAGCTATGGCCGCTGTCATGTTTCCTAAGCTATGGACTCCTCCCCTACCTTGGAGAGGTGACTTTCCTCTCTCCAATTTACTTTTTAAATAAATGATATTTTCCAATCAGTTTCTGTGCAATTCTTTGCATCTTTCACATGGTACCAGATTGCACACCACCCCCTGGCGGGTCTGATCTAACATTTTTGAAGGCCCCGCTGATATTTTAACCTAACATAGGTGCACCACTCAACCCCCTAAGATGCCCATCACAAGAGCCCTACATGGTATGCCAGTGCTTTACAGAGGGGTGAACTGACCGGGAAGGGAGTGAGATAGATACCCAAGGCTACAGAGCAAGTTGCTGGCAAAAGGATGCTACAACTTAGAAGTGCTTAGCTGAGAAACCAGAATGCTGCTCTTAGGGGGATAGATCACCCATTGTTCCCAATTCCTCTGCTCTCTGGATGTCACCAAGCTTGCTATCTGATGCATTCCCCTCATGCGTATCCTGTTGCCACTCCTTCCAGTCTAGTCTAGATGTGGTACAGAGGGCCCTCTTGACCTCTGACCAGGATGCCAGGTACTTCCATTTATTTACTTCCACCCACGTGCACCACCCATCCCTCCTTCTGGTCCTGGCTGCAGTGTTCTTTGAGAACTCTGAGTTCTTACTCACACTGTGAGACCAAGACATACTGAAGAGAATCACAGTTTATGTAAACACAATAAAGCAGACTCAGATCATACAGCAATGATATCATTGGAAAGCTTCTTCTCCATGATGGAATTCTGTTGCCCACTGTGATATGGGCATGTTGTGTGTTCCTTTCTCAGGCCCCGTTAGGTAGACACCTCCCCTCGGGCAGGCACCACATCTAATTCATCTTTGTAGCTTCAAAACAAAAAATAGTATCTATGTTCAACAAATGCCCACAGAATGGAGGGAGACCACAGTCCTTCCTGTTTGCAAGAATTTATTTTCTTAATTTGACTTTGAGTAAAAAAGATGGTCACAAAACGTTAACCCGTAGAACCCAAGTGGCAACCAAGACAGACCTAACTATACAAATCCCTATATCAAAGGTCCATTATATTAGAAAAAGCTGCAGGATTTTATATATTTTTCTCTTATAAGGCATGCACACTTATTTGCTATTCTTGTACAATATGCACTATTCCTTAAAGGTTGCTTGCGTGCTTGTTTTTTTTTTTTAAGTGTAGTAGAAAGAAGAAGGAAGAGAGGAAGAAGGAAGAAAGAGGAGGAAGAAGGAGAAGAAAGAGGAGGAGGAGGAGGAGGAGAGGAGGAAGAGGAGAGGAGTAGAAGAAAAAGAGAACGAGGAGGGGAGGAGGAGGAGAGGGAAGACAGAACCTCGGAAGATAATACTTTTCATGCCATTGTGTCTCACGCTGTTCAGATGGTGGGCTTTGTTGATTGTCTAGAGACTACAATAGAGGCATGAAGTCAGAGGCGATAAGAAAGAGCACAAATCAGAGGGAGAACAGATACATTACATTTAGCTATAAGGATATTATCAGTCCTAACAGGGATAGGGCACTATGCTAGCCAATTCCTCTACCAGCTCGTCTGCTGGAAAAAAGTAGTAACACTATCAGAATTTCCATTCCTGTTCAGGCATAAACAAATAGATCATCATTATAGCTATCAGTGAGCAAGAGGGACACCAGGTTTCACTGAATATTGCTTAAAAAGAGCTTTCTATCATTTACTTAGGAAGACACGATTAAACAGCCCACCACTCCTGGCCATTTGCTGGGATGCTGTTCCTCTCAGTACCACAGGCCAGGTTCACTTAAAATTAAGATCACTTCCTAGCAGGGTCCAGATCTGGCATTTCTGCTCTTAAAAGTAATAGAGAAAACAGAGTCTTTTAAGAAAAGACTAACTGTTGTAGGTTCTAGTTTTTACTTACTTAGCACAAGCAGTAGATTTGCTGCTATGAAAGCCAGAAATCTGCACTAGCCATAGCAAGTTCAGTGTTTGGAAGCTTGGTTCAGGCTCATATCAGATAAGATACCCTAATCACCCAGGTAGCCTTTAAGCAAAGTCAGAGAGATGATGGGGAAACAGAATGAAGGCTTCACGTTGATAGCTTGCTGCTACAGCAGACATCACATAATGCTGGCAGTTTTTCTCTTTAATTTAGTATCACAGTAAGATGAAAATATCTGTAACTACGCTTCCTTTACCACAGCCCCCTTTGGGATGTCTAATCCCACATATGAATCTACACTTATGTCATATCACACACAAGATCACAAGGCAACTTCCCTGACCAGGGTCTAGTTTGCAGATCATCAAGGAAAACGGTCCCTTGCTGGGCCAGGAATTCTACTGTCTGACTTCAGTCTCCCTCACTGCAAGTGAGTTGCTGGAGCTGGTACAACTATTCGTGTGATTGCCAATATGAAAACTATTAAACTGCCAAAGTTTTTCTTCTGAAGATACTCCCATCCCTCTCCTGTGCATAAGTGGTCTGAGCAGCCCCCTAACCTGCAATGTCAGCATCGCATGGGAGTTTGTTAGAAATGCAGACTCTTAGGCCCTACCCAGTCCTATAGAATTAGCATCTGGCGTTTTAACAAGATCCCTAGATGACTCCTTGAGAAGCACTGTCTCACTATACTTTCCCAAAACTGAAAGTAAGTTTTGCTTCCCAGACATATCCATGGGAGCTGAAGAAGTAGAATCATTTTCTGACCTCTCCACTTCTCCTGTTTTTGCTAGGGATCCTAGAGGAGACTTGTCTTTATTTCATCAGGAAGAAAAACACAGTGTACTCCAGCAGGCATTCAGCAGGCATTAAGCATTCCTGCCAAGGTAATGGAAGAACGTAGTGGCTTGACATAAGGACACAGTTGTGACCATTTGCATACAACTACCTTTTTTGCTTTGACTCACCAGAAATTCTCTCCAAACTTCTTAAATCCAACTATGTTTTGAGGGTTGCTATAAAGATTTTAAAAAAAAATCCCTTGCACTTAGATGTCCCCTCTGAGGGGACCTGATAATCTAGCAAACCACTCAGATATCACCTATCAGGGGACAAAAAAGATTGCTCGTGGTTATACAGGACATACTTGTGCAAGCACAAATTCTTAAAAAATGTATGTTTTCTGGAAGTTTTCTGTTCAAATTGCATGAAAAGGCAAACAAACAGATGAAATATATATTGAGATATATTTTAAAAAAAAATCAGCTGGTTAGGGAGACACCCCTTATCAACAAGGGTGCCTGAATGATGCATATTTGTATACCTAACCCTTAACTGTACTCCACAATTTT